TTAAGATTGAACTTGGTATTTGTATCTACTTTTTGTTATTAATATTGGTATCCACTTTCAGGTGTATTTATGTAGTATTATTTTAAATGTTAAAAAATTTAATTATAGTACGGAACCGAACGGAATCGAACAGAACCGAACCGAAACCAAACGGTTCCAAAATTATATTTGGAACCGACGGTTCCATTTGCTAAATACCCGAAAATTTCTGGAATCGAAAAAAATCGAACCGAACCGAACCGACCCGCGCCCACCCCTAGAGACCTACATGAAGAGGTTTACATGTAAAAACCCTCAGGTTACACAAGAGGAACCTCCAACCAAGTTTGCAAACTTCTGAGAAGCATTTATGGCTTGAAATAAGCCTTAAGATTAGTATTCTACATTTTATGCAGCATTTATAGAGTTCGGGTTCTCTCAATCGAAGGCTGACTACAACCTCTTCACTATGGTCATAGATCACTCATTTACAGCCTTACTCGTCTATGTAGATGACATTGTGGTGGCTGAATCCAATTTGGAGCAGATAAGCACAATTCAGAAGTTCCTCAGTAGCAAATTTAAAATCAGAACACTAGGTGATTTAAAGTATTTTCTAGGACTGGAAGTTGCAAGGTCCAGCAAGGGAATTGTGATATCCCAACATAAATATACCTTAGATTTATTGGCTGATGCAGGGATGCTTGGAGCTAAGCCAGTAACTCAAGCTACAAACAACTTGCAACTCATTCCCAAACAAAGTGAAGTACTAAGTAGAATGGCAGCCTCCACTATAGCTCTTTCTTCTCCATCTTTCGCTGGTAAGGCAATGAAGCTCTCACCATCTACCCCTGAGATCACTGGCAATGGAAGGGTGTCAATGAGGAAGGCTATGAGCAAGTCAGTTTCTTCAGGCAGTCCTTGGTATAGCCCCGACCACCTTAAGTATTTGGGACCATTCTCCGGTGAGCCCCCGAGCTACTTCACTGGTGAATTCCCTAGTGACTATGGTTGGGACACTGCGGGACTCTCAGCTGACCCTGAAACATTCGCCAAGAACCGTGAACTTGAAGTGATTCACTGCAGATTGCCCATGTTTGGAGCTCTTGGATGTGTTTTCGTAAGTTCTTGGCTCACAATCGTGTCAAGTTTGGTGAGGCTATGTGGTTCAAGGTCGTGCCCAAATCTTCAGCGAGGGTGGAGTGGACTAGATTACTTGGGCAACCCAAGCTTGATCCATGCCCAGAGCATTTTGGCCATCTGGGCTTGCCAAGTCATCTTGATGGGAGCTGTTGAGGGCTACCGTGTTGCCGGTGGACCACTAGGTCAGGTAGTCAACCCACTTTACTAGCTTCGACCCCTTGGGTCTTGCCGATATTCCCAAGGCTTTTGCAGATCTCAAGGTGAAGGAGATCAAGAATGGTAGACTTGCCATGTTCTCCATGTTTGTATTCTTCGTCCAAGCAATTGTAACCGGAAAGGGTCCATTGGAAAACCTTGCTGACCACCTTGCTGACCATGTTAACAACAATGCTTAGTCCTAACTTTGTCCCTGGAAAGTGAATTTGACAAACAAAGTGTACCATATTCCAATTGTTTTAAGATGATGTAAAATTACTTCAAATTAATGGAACATGCTGTGAATTTTGTGTGCTTTTATGTTAGTTGCATGCAGGCAAACTGCATTTTTATTCTTCAGAACATCAGAACTAATTACTCATTGTTTCGCGCGGGTAGTCGCTAACAATTAAAAAAGAATTCAAACGATTGTGTAAGGGACAAACCTCTTGAGATAAAGTCCCAAAAAAAAGTGCTTTATTGATGAAAGGTACAATTGGAAATAAACAGAATGTCTCCAAGGGACGCAAGCACACGAGTACTGAAAAATGATAATTAAAGTTTTGATGAGAGTTACAATTGGAACTAAATAGAATGCCTCTAAGGGACGCATGCACATGAGTACTGAAAGAAGGATAATTAAAGTTAATCTAATAAATTGAAATTACATATTCTCTGTTTGAGAGTGTTTGATTCGGGGTCATTTCTCTATGTCTTTTCTTCCTTTTTATATTCTCATGATGATTTTTTCGTGACAAACCGCTTGGAAACTGCTTGATTGCTTTATAACTACTCACTTTCTTCATGGTGGCTAACTTATTGTGGAACTGTCATCTCTAACTGTTGCCATGACTCTTTGTAGTTCAACCGCCTTCAAATGTTCTCCTTAAATCGTGGAATGTGCTAATCTACTCAATAACTGCTTCAATAAGTGCTATTTTAGATAACCATAATATCTCATGCGTTAAGATTCTGGGCGCCTCGAAGGTTTTGGCGAGAACGAGGTCATCGCTCTGGGCGATCGTAAGACACTCCATTCGCTCAGATTATGGACGTCTTGTAGGCTTGGACAATGATGTTATTGTGTTCGTGGGCTTCCTCTGCATTCACCAATAATCTTATTTATGCATTTATCTCGAACTCCCCAATTGGGCATCACTCTTTGGACAATTTAATTTGGACTGCACTTTTAGTGTGTCAACAATTACCCCCCAATATGGGAATATTAATCTTTGTATTTTACAGCAACATTTGAAATTCTCAAGATTGCACTTTTAGTGTGTCAACACTTATATCCAGCAATATCCTCGAGGGCCAAGAATTATTGAGCAAAATTTTCATTATGCTGAGTCGTTTCAGCCTGTACGTTTAGATTTGGCTCGACTCGAATCGGAGGGATCGAGCCATGAGTCAGTCTGCCTGTAAAGACTTGCCGTATTTGTCCAAAAGTTCAGGCTTTCTGCACAAACCTGTCCATAATTCTTTGGACTCTTCGCAGAAGGATACACAGAGCCTAAGGTCTCTCCAGAGGAGCAAATTTAGAAAATTGGCAAAAAAGAAGTCCCTAATGTATGAACCTTGTGCATAAATTGTCCCTTACATTTTTTCTTGATGCTACCCCCCTCAAAGTATTGATTTGGCCAGCAACAAGTCCTTTTTAATGGTTCCATCCATTCTTGCTTAAGAGATTAGATTTTCCTGTGCTCAAGATAGAATCAGGTGAGAGAAAAATTCGGTTAAGTGTTTGACGAACTTTTATTTCATAATTGTTGTATGCCATTACTAAAATAGACATTAATATAATAATATTACTATTTATTTTAGTGTTGTAAAATTTATTTTTACTTTTAATATTATGAAATATTTATTTTAAGACAATATATTTACTACCTATTTTCTTAAGGTAAAATTACATTTTCAAATCTTAAAATTTATAAATTTAGAAATTGAATTTGAGATGTCAATAGTCAAGAAAAATTAAAAATAATAAAAAATAAAAAACGGTCTTTTAACGTGAATAATGGATGAGACTTTATTATCATAGAATGAAAAACCAATGATTGTACACTTAACAACTTAATATAGAAAATAAACTAATTTAATTGATGGGATTAAAATTTTAATAATAAATAATTGAAAAAATTAAAAGCAGAATCTGAAAATGTTGCATTCGGTTGTAAATCAATTTTTTTAAGTTTACCAAACTAGTTGTTCTTGTTTGAGAAGGGACTTCAAAAGCAATCACAGACCAAGCCATAACACCAAGACTAGTTTCAGAATTACTGAAATACCATGTAGTTTTTCCACTTTTCCGTTCAATTTACATCTATTCCACCCACACACCAGTCCTCTCAACAAAGGTTTTTTCTCGATGATACTTGAGAATTAGAAATGAAGAAATTAAATCAAGGGAAACCAAAAGAAAATAACATATAAACCGATCCCAAATTCCAATATTTATTTTGTCCTCGTATTCGCCTCCATACGTATACATTGTTAAGTTACAATGAAATGTATGTTTCACTTAATGAACTTGTATACAATATATTACCTACCATAATGTACAATATCTACATGAAGAGGTTCATCCCTCTGAAGCTAGAATAAACGCTAGGTTTCACCTAGAATGAATGATTTGATCATGTGTAAACTTAAAACTGTTGAAACGATGCAGTTTAGATTGTAAAATCAGGTTCAATTGCCTTCTTGTCTTGTAGAGGAAATATCAAATAGTTCCCGTTTCAAAATCAATTTGCAGAATCAAGCCATTCATGATAAGTCAACTCCCATGTTGTCACGAAAATATACACTGAACTTCGTCAAAAACCAGTTTCTGCAAACTAATACCTTCACAACATGCTCAAGCACGATTTGCAGCCCTAGATCGGGCAACAGACTTGGCATAAAGTTCTTCATACAACGATGCTGATGATTCCCAGCTAAAATCTATGCCCATGTCCTTTTGGACAAGCTGTTTCCAACCGTCAATGTTATTCTTGTAGAAGTTGAAAGCACGCTCTAAAGCATTATTAAATCCCTGAAAATTACAGTAAAATCTGAAAATTACAGTAAAATCTAACTGTCAAAATGGTTAAGGTGGAGGAGAAAAATCCATGATTTATTCCCAATAAAGGCCGCAAGGACAGGATAGGTTTAATTGAAAGTTCAACAGATTATCAATCATTAGAAAACAAACAATCCAACATCTCAGGCATATTCATTACCTGCTCATCAGCTGTCAAAAATGTAAATCCATTTCTGTACTGAACAGGTATGGTATCATCATCTACATCAAAAACACTGCAAAAGAAATTAAGAGCTTAATTTCAAATGCCCTATCTGTGAAATTGCAAAATATGGGATGGTTTATTTAGACATTGTGCACTGCGTACCAACCTATCATTGAGACCACCGGTTTTTCTAGCTATCGGGATCGAACCATATCTCATTGCGATCATCTACATCCATGTAACATGGATTGAGATAGAATAAAGATTAAAAAATTCAAGTTTTCAATGTTCAAGGGCGACTGCTAAAGCAATTCTTCAAGCATACCTGCGTAAGGCCACAAGGCTCAAAGATAGATGGAATAATAAGCATGTCAGTGGCTGCATAAATTAAGTGGGAAAGCGACTCGTCATACTTCAATATCAGCCGAACATGTTCGTGACTCTGAAAATGGTTTGCAATATCCTCGAATTCTCTCTGTGGTAAAAATGAATACCAGTGTCATATTTTTTCAATGAAAAAACATGATCATTCAAAGCATCTTGATTTTTGAGAACGTAAGGCAATATAAAAATGACCAAAATTCTTCGCATTACCCTCTTTGAGAAGAAGGTCGGAGGATATCTTCTCTTTCGTTTTTTTCATTTTCTTTAACAAGTTCAAGTGTTAAAAAGCTAAATGGTTGTGTGTGCCCCAATAGAGATAGAAGGCAGAAATTACCTGAATGTGTGGCACTGGACTGGAACCAAGAAGAACGAACTGTCCACCCAATTCCAATGTCCGATATATTGCATGCCTAATAAGATGCACGCCCTTTTGAGGCACCAATCTTGTTATGCAACCAACCTGCCCAACAAAAATTGAAAGGCCCGTTTGACAAAATTTCTGGAAAGGGTAGGGAGGGGGTTGTTTTAATATGTAGTAATGTTGAAAATATCAAAGCAGAACATTCTACACTCCTTATTAATACAATGCCATCTCACACTATTGCTTTTGGAACACCCTTGACCATGCTCAAAAAACTCCCATTTCTAGCCACAAATTTCAATCCATAATGCTTGAAGTGTTTAGTTCCATAGCATTTGCTCATTACCATAACCACACCAAAAAATATTAGATCCCAAAGCTCCTAGGTGTGTTTCATGGAGGTACTCACCGACTCAAAAGTAATAGAGCGTTTCCATCCAGGGAAAAAAAAATGGTAATGATGGACATCAATTTTTTTTAAAATCAGTCTTACTTCTAGGAATGTTTTCTTCAGGGGGAGAGTGACAAAAAGGATTATTGCATTTGGGAAGTCTTACCGGTTACTATACCTGGAAACTCCACTTGTTTTCCTCTTTCTTCTAACCCTACTCTTGTTAATTCTAGAAATGATATTCTCACACGTAAAAGAATCTATTAAATGAAAAGACATGGAGAGTGAACTTGAAAAAGAAGTGGAGCTAAAAGTGCATTCAAGAAGGAATAAAGAAGCAAAAATTCCTACTACTCACTGCCAATTCCTGAACCAGAGAGAATCTTGGAAGACAAAGGCAAGTTCTTCAAATCCTCAATATCTGAACATGTTCATGATTGAATACCAGAGTTGGACATTTCAACTGCTCTTAGAAAAGGGGTATGATCCTATACTCAATATCAAAATTGCCAAGCCCAGACAAGACCGACAAGTTCAATCGAGAAAACAGAGTGAAAACTGGTCAGTTAGGATCTTAAACCGTATATATAAAAACCAGAACAAAATACAGTTAACTGGCCAGTTACTTTGGAACTGGACACAGTTTAAGCGATTTTACCGATGGGGTTTTATATTAAAAAAGGTTTAATGCTCACCTGCCCCAATTGTAAATCTTACAACTAAGTAAAGGAGCCGAGCTTTATAATCTTTTAACTATTTCCTTGCACTTTAGTCATTAGGGTGTTAGTCTTTAATTAGTATTAGGACTTTTAATTTTCGTAATTATCTTTTAATTTATCTAGAGTTAGTCATTATCTAAAGTTTAGTCGTTATCCAGATTTTAGTTATTGCTTTAAATATGGGTTATAAGCCTTAATGGCAATAGATGATTTTTGATTGAAATAGAATATTAATTATTGAGATCTTCTTCAACTTCTTAAATTCTCGATATTTGATATTTAAAATCAACGAGTCGAAATTCTTTATATTTCGCGTGCAAATCAATGAATTTTTTATGTCTACATTTATGATATTATTAGAAATCAACATAAACTATAAGGTGATTGTGTTGCGGTATTCGTTTGGAATTAACGGAACTTCGATAGCGCATTCGTTTATTATTTATATCGCTTTGTTATCATAGCAATTCGATCATCAACAAAATAAGGGGATCGAACCTTATTATCTTTTAATTATTTTCTTGCACTTTAAGCCATTAGGAGGTTAGTCTTTAATTAGTATTAGGACTTTTAATATTCGTAACTATCTTTTAATTTTTATCACTTTCTAGAGTTGATCATTGTCTAAAATTTAGTCATTATCCAGATTTTAGTTACCTTAAATACAAGTCGTAAGCCTTTAGTAGGTGGTTTTTAAATTGAAATAAAATAATAATTGTTGAGATCTTCTTCAATTTCTTAAATTCTCGTTATTTGATATTTAAAATCAACGAGTCGAAATTCTTTATATTCGTGCGCGAATCAAATAGTTTTTTATGTCTAGATTTATGATATTCTTAGGAATCAACAGAAATTAGAAGGTAATCGTATTGCGGTATACATTTGGAATCAACAGAACTTTGATAACACGTTTGGTCATCATTTCTATAGCTTCCTCTCTACATCAGTTGATAACAGAGCGAGGTTCGTTCCTGATAGAGACAAGTTAGTCTTCGTAAAATTCAATGCCAGAAGTTTTATTTTGGGACGAAACACTTTGTCTCTTTTAATCCGGATGCAGCAAAATCTTTGGATTTGGATGATGACGACTAAAACGGCCCTTCAATCTTTGACAAAGATATTAAAAAAATTTGTGGATTTGGGTAAAAAACAGTTAAGATGGTTCGCTAATATTCGATGAGGCAACGGCATAGAGATTCTTAAGAGTCATTGGAGAAATTCCAAGCCAGTTCTCACGGCATTCAATTACTAGCAAACAATAATGGAAATTTCAAGTATCCACTATTGTTCGTTGTAGGAAATATTCTTGATCTAAGATTGTACAAAGCTGCTTTAGAAACAAAAGACTCTTGCTGGCCTTTTGCAAAATAGTAGAATCAATTTCAAGAAAACTTCTCATAAGATTTTGGAGCGGTAATATTTGATTGGTTAGCTTGCTTATGTTTTTCCCTTGCACTTGTTGAGTATAATATTCCCACTAAGTGGCACTGGGTGAAGAACACGATGCCAGATTCGAGGAAAAATCTTTTTCAATCTTAGGAGAATGATGCAGTCCGTGCCTACAACTAAATAGGGGGGCTAAGCCTTATTATCTTTTAATTATTTTTTGCACATTAAGTTATTAGGCGGTTAGTCTTTAATTACTATTAGGACTTTTAATTTTTATAATTGATTCTTGTCATTATATAAGTTAGTCATTATCTAGAGTTTAGTTGTTATCCAAATTTTAGTTATTACTTTAAATATGGGTTGTAAGCTTTAAAGGCAGCCAGTGATTTTTGAAATAAAATATTAATTGTTGAGATCTTCTTCAATTTTTTCAATTCTTGGTATTTAATATTTAAAATCAACGAGTCTAAATTATTTGTATTCGTGCGCGAATCAAAAGAATTTTTTATGCCTAGATTTCTGATAGTTTTAGGAATCAATAAAAACTAGAAGATGATCGTATTACGGTATTTGTCTGGAATCAACGAAACTTCGATAGCGCATTCGTTTATTATTTCTATCACTTCATCCCTACATCGGAAGTACATCCACCTATCGTTTCTTTCTGTATTCCCATTGCGTAGGCTTCCATTGTCTCTCGGTAAAAGCTTCTTCACATGTAGATTGTACACACACAAAAAAATACATACAATTATGTAAATTTGGGATAGAATGACCTTAATCCTCAATAAGGTATAATGTGATAGAACTAAGAAGGTCACCGACTACTAGGGTTTGGCATGGATTTGGAAAGACAATTACTTAAACTATTTTAGGCCCACTAGTTTGCATTTACTATTTAAGGTAAGAATGTCACTCAACCGGTACGTGTTTAGACTACTAGGGTTTTGGCATGGATTTGGAAAGACAATTACTCAAAACTATTTTAGGCCCATTAGTTGGCATTTACTATTTAATGCTAAATGAAAATTTGAAACCGTTATTCAAGTAAAATAATGACACTACCAATACTTTTTAACTTAATAACTTTTAATGGGGTGTGTGTGTATCTTTATTAAAATAGTTTTTTTTTTTTTTTAAACTTCCAATTGGGCCCTTTTACCCTTGACCCTCTAGCTTTTCCATGTCAATGCCAGGGCAATTTTTGAAAACATTGCTCAATATCCTATATTTAATGTCTCCTATAATCAGCTTCATCCATCATTTAAAAGGTTTTGCTACTAATCTCTATAGAGCAAGTATTCCAATTTCAATTCAATGTATGAAGATAAGAAATGAAGAGATGCAGTCCAAGGAAAAAATGAGAGCTATGTACAAAAACAGGACCTAAGGCTTAGTGGAACTCCCTCATGGAAAAGGGATCGTAAGATGCACATGTTTACAATGAAATTCAAAGCTGACGGAACAATTGATAGATATAAGGCGAGTTTAGCTGCAAAAGAATTCAAACAAGCCTATGGGATTAACTACCAAGAGACCTTCGGGTAGGTTGCAAAGATGAACAAAGTTTAGGCAGTACTCGCACTAGCTATCATCATCCAAGACTGACTATAACACCAATTAGATATCAATAATGCCTTTATTCATGGAGACATAAAGAACGGTGTACAAGGAACTGCCACCTGGTGTTGAAGGAAGTCTTAAAGAAAAAAAGGTGTGCAAGCTAAGAAAGTCTCTCTACAGCATAAAGCAGTCACCACCAGCTTAGTTTGAAAAATTTACCTTGTCAGTTCTTAGTGAAGGATACTCACAAAGCCAAGCCGATCACTCCAAGTTTTATAATCATACAGAAGAACGTAAGGTGACTATAACAATCATAAATATTGATGATATAATTGTAACACAAAATAACATGGTTGAAATACATAATTTGAATGATTCTTTTGCTTAAGATTTTAGAGACTATAAAATTTGGGAGATTTGAGATACTTCTAGGGAACTGAGGGGCTGGATTGTAGAAGAAAGGAATATTTTTATCACAACAAAAGTATACTCTAGTTCTATTAAAAGGAAACCGGAATACTTGGTGCAATCCAGTAGATTTTCCAATGGATATCATTCATAAAGTGGGAACTTTGATAACTAGCACGACAGTTCGTATGTCTATTCCATACTAGACTAAATATTGCTTTTGCAGTTAGGATCTTTAGTCAATTCATGCATGCACCAAACGAACACATATGAATCCATGATCAGATTATCGAGATATCTCAAAGGAGCATCATGGAGATAGCTCTTATTTTTCCAAAACCAACATCATGCGGAAGCATATACACTATACAGACATTGGCTGGGCAGGCAGGCTCATTGGGGGACATGATCTACTTTAGAGTATTGCACATTATTGGAGGTAATTTAGTTATATATATAGAAGCAAAAAACAATCATTGGTAACAAGATCAAGTATAGAAGCGGGGCTTTGATCAATGGCCTTGGGAATCTGTGAGTTACTATGGTTAAAATATCTCTTAAAGCAACAAAAATTGGAGAATGATAATCCTGTGAAGATAACAAAGCTGCCATAAGTATAGCACATAATGTGGTACAACGTGAAAGAATAAAGCATGTTGAAGTTGATCGACATGTCATCAAAAAAAAAAATAATAATAATAAGATGTGGGCTAATTTGCACTCAATTCGTGCCCTCTGAAAAACAATTAGCAGACATGCTAACAAAGGGGTTATCTAAACCTCCATTTCAGGAAATACTTGGCAATTTGTAGAGGATAGATATTTATGAACCAGCTTGAGGGGAGTTTGTCAAGATATCAAGGTAGATCAAGCTACAATCTAGAGATATCCTATCCCAGATTTGTACAGATTAATTAGAATGATCTGTTTCTAAATTTAGACTATTCTCTAGCTATAGAATTACTTTATTTCCGACTTTCTAGCATTGATTGCAGATAATATCTTATATATATTCAGTGACCACCATGCAGAAATTACAATACAATCAATACAAATTATTTTACTGTCCCCTCAAGTCCTCAACCAATTTAATTGAATGCATATTAGCAGCAAATTTACTTATAAAGCAATAAACCTGAAGTTACTAGTGATGGACATATACCAAGATAATGTATATTAATCTAGGAGGCGTCTTTCTCTGAAATCCATGTACTAACCCAAGACTTCCAACATAACTATATAGACAAATCTTCCACCTTAGTTTTTCTCTTTAGTTCAGAATGATGGAATAAATCAGCTGACTGAAGAACTAAGTTGGCAATATTCAAATTCAAAATCCAAATATTAGGTTGTCAACTCTAAGTATTTATCTCTTCATCAAGCAATATTTAGCGATAGGTGCACATTTTACTAGTGTACAGAATATTTATATTTTTGTGGAAATGGGAAATCTTCACGTGATTTAATTCCAATTTATTGTCCCTTCCTTACAGTAGTAGAGACTAGTCAGTATAAAAATCAGACAGACTTACCAATGGCCGCCTGACATCATTAGAAGAAAGTCTGAGACATCTTCTTAAATCTTCCTTATTTTCTGCTTTGCCCTCGATATCATTGGCATTATACTGAACTTTTAGAAAATTGTCAGTAGCTGGATTCCATGCTTCAGTATCAATTCCATTTAGAATTCCAACAAACTTCTTAGAATGAGAGTGAAGTGTTGAATGAAGGCCCCGTCCTCCCTGTATAGCAAAAATGAAATACACAAGTTAAGACCTTGGTAAACATTAATATAGAGTCCCTCACTTCATACTTATCCCTTTCAAATTCTTAAAGCACTTCTTTCCAAATTTTCACAGATTCCTATAATTACATCTATTTGACAACCTTATCACTTTGTGTTTCCTGAGAAAACAAGATTATGCATACAGAATTTGGTGCTGTTTAAGGTAGTCAAAAGTTTGTTCGTTTTCAAAATTTATGTATATGAACACTGGGGGAAAATCTGCTTAATAAGGAAACCAGGGAATCATTGTATTTATGGTATACAATTCCATAATTTAGGAGATGTGACAATCCCTTATTAAAGGAATATCACAGCCCCTTAATTAAAGGGATTTAAGTTAGGAAAGTTTCCTATTTTATTTATTCTCTGTAAGTATATAAATTTAGAGATTGTACAGCATTATTATGAATAAGAATAATTCTTCAATTCTTCACATGGTATCAGAGCTTTAAGCTTTCTGGGAATTACTCTTTGTTTTTTCGCTTGTTGGCCTTCATTGCCCAGTATTTTGTTCAGCCTTCATTGCTGTTTCTTTTTCTTCTCTCTCTAAATTATTTTGATAATTCTAAGTTCTTTGTTCTCCCTTTCTTTGGCCACTCTTATTCTTGATTTAAACACAGCTCTTTTGTGATCTTCCCAATAGCCATGGCAGAAATCATAGACAGCACTAACTCCTCTGAGATGCAGAATGTGGAAACAAAATCTGCTTCATCTTTAGGAGAGTTACAAAATCTGCAGGCAGCATATAGATTGAATGGAAAGAATTACCTAAATTGGTCACAGCTGGTTAGAACATTCTTGAAAGGGAAAGGCATGATGAGTCACTTGCTCGGTACAGGACCTGCAGCAGGAAATCCTGGATTTGATGCTTGGGATGAGGCGGACTCTATGGTGATGACTTGGCTATGGAACTCAATGCTACCGGAGATTAGCGATACATGTATGTTCCTAACCACTGCAAAGGAGATTTGGGATTCCGTTGGACAAACCTATTCCAAGGTTCATGATGCTGCTCAGATATATGAAATCAAGATCAAAATTTCAGCCACCAAGCAAGGAGAACGTACTATCACTGAATATGCCAATCTCATGAAAAATCTGTGGCAAGAAATGGACCATTATCAATGCATTAAACTGAAATGCAGTGATGATGCGGCCATGGTGAAAAAACTGGTAGAAAAAGACAGGATTTATGATTTCCTTGCAGGTCTAAATATGGTGTTTGATCCAGTCAGAGTCCAAATTCTTGGAAAGGATGATTTACCCTCATTAAATGAGACTATTGCGATAATCCGAGCAGAAGAAGGACGAAGAGGAGTAATGGTGGAACCACAGGCTGTCGAAGCATCGGCTATGGTCTCAAAAGTGACTGTTTTTAAAAATCACCGTCCTAACCAACCAACTATGAGCATGAATGAGGAACTGAACATGTCTAAAACCACAAAGAAAGATGAATTATGGTGTACGTACTGTAAAAGGCCTCGTCACAAGATAGATCATTGTTGGAAGCTTCATGGAAAGCCGAAATTATCAAACAAAAATTAGACCATGAAAGATGGACAACAAAGGGGGCAGGCTCATATGACTTACTCACAACCTGGGGAGGAGGACATGCCACAAGAGCAAGGTGACTTCAGTCAAAGTGAAATACAGAAATTGAGGAATTTATTGGGGTCCTTGGAAAAGTCTACTACTTCAGGTGCTTGCTCTTTATCACTCTCGGGTAAGTATCCTCTCCCTTGTGTCCTTAGTGTCTCAAGCATAACCTCTTCTCCAGATTCTTGAGTCATTGATTCAGGGGCCACAAATCATATGACCTATTCTTCACACAAATTCACCTCTTATAGTCCATGTCCTAGTAATAAGAAAATAACCACAGCTGATGGCTCATTAATCACAGTTGCTGGCCGAGGAAGTGTTTTAATACACCAGAATTTGAAACTTGACAATGTTCTTCATGTTCCAAAACTATCCACTAATCTCCTATCCATACATAAGCTCACAAAAGATTTGAATTGTAACGTGACTTTCTCTCCCTCAAATTGTGTTTTTCAGGACCAGGGAACGGGGAAGATGATTGGACTTGCTAGGGAGAAAGATGGACTTTATTATCTTGAAGAATCAAGTGGGCAACATGAAACTAAGAATCGCTTATCTTTATCATTGCTTTCTGAATTTTTACCTTCAAATAAAGACAAAATTTGGCTTTATCATCTTCGTCTAGGACATCCTTCGTTTAGCATCCTTAAAGTTATGCACCCATTGTTATTTAAAGGAATTGATGAGAAACTTCTTCATTGTAATACTTGTGAACTTGCAAAGCATAAACGTGCTTCCTTTCCTATAAGCAATAAAATAACATCAGTTCCTTTTTCACTCATCCATAGTGATATCTGGGGACCTTCTAATGTTCCTAATATATCTGGGGCTCGTTGGTTTGTTTCGTTTATTGATGAATGTACTCGTGTGTCATGGATTTTTCTCCTAAAGAATAAGTCTGATGTAAGCTCAGTGTTTCCCACATTTCATAGCATGGTAAAAAATCAATTTGGGGTTGGGATAAAAAAATTCAGATCCGACAATGCTAAAGATTTCTTCGATCATGTTCTATCACATTTTTTTCCAGAAAGAGGGAATAATACATGAGTCATCTTGTGTCAATACCCCCCAACAAAATGGGGTGGCCGAAAGAAAAAATGGCCACTTGTTAGCCACTACTCGAGCCCTCCTATTTCAAAAAAACATTCCGAAAAATTATTGGGGAGAAGGTGTTCTAACTGCTACCCATCTTATAAACAGGTTGCCTTCTCGGGTCCTTGATTTCAAAAGTCCCATACAAGTTCTGACTAAGCATTTTCCCAGCTTCAATACCAGAAATAATCTTGTTCCAAAAATCTTTGGGTGTGTGTCTTTTGTCCATATCCAGTCTCATAACAGGGGAAAGTTAGATCCACGAGCACTTAAGTGTGTTTTTATAGGATATTCACCTACTCAAAAGGGATACAAGTGTTATCATCCTCCAACTCGAAAGTTCTATGTGTCAACCGATGTAACATTTGTTGAAGGAGATAGTTATTTTCCACAACCTTATCTTCAGGGGGAGACAACATCTATTGAAGATAAGGCCAATGACTTATTTTTACTAGAACTTGATTCTACTATTCCTTCATGTCCTGTACTCGAGTCACCTTGTACTCCTACATCAAAAACTTAAACTTTGGAAAAAGATAATCAGGTTCAAAGTTCTACTTGTCCATTGTTGGTTTATTCAAGGAAGAAAGTACCCATCATTCAACCTATGCAAATCCAAGATTCTGAACCAACTCCTTGTAATGAGGCAATTACTTCTAACTCTCATGATGCTAGTGATGATCTTCCCATTGCTCTTAGGAAAGGCATAAGAAAATGTACCCAAAATTCACTATATCCATTATCTCACTTTGTTTCATATGAGAAATTATCACGCAATCACAAAACCTTTCTCACACATCCGAACACTATAACAATTCCCAAAACTATGCTTGAGGCCTTAGGTCGTAAGGAATGGAGAGATGCTATGAGGGTTGAAATGGAAGCTCTTGAGAAAAATAACACTTGGAAATTAGTGGAACAACCTAAGGGAAAGAGACCAGTAGGATGTAAATGGGTGTTCACTGTTAAGTATAAAGCAGATGGATCGCTTGAGAGATATAAGGTCAGGTTGGTAGCTAAGGGATATACTCAAACTTATGGAGTTGATTACCTAGAAACTTTTGCTCCGGTTGCAAAAATGAATACTGTAAGAATATTATTATCCTTAGCGGCTAATCTTGGGTGGAGTTTTCAGCAATATGATGTCAAGAATGCATTTCTACATGGGAACCTTGATGAAGAAATCTACATGGAAATTCCTCCTGGCTTTGGTTCAAATCTACGAGGAAAACAGGTGTGTAGACTAAAGAAAGCCCTATATGGTCTAAAACAATCCCCTCGAGCTTGGTTTGGGCGATTCGCTAAAGTTATGTTAGCAATGGGGTATAAACAAAGTCAAGGAGATCATACTCTGTTTGTCAAGTACTCGGCGTCAGGTGGAGTAACTGCTTTGTTGGTATATGTGGATTACATTGTGATAACTAGAAATGACATGGACGGAAGAGAAGCTTTAAGGAAGTGTTTGATTAAAGAGTTTGAAATAAAAGAGCTAGGTAGGTTGAAATATTTTCTTGGGATTGAAGTTGCTTACTCAAAGCATGGGATCTTTATTTCACAACAGAAATATGTGATGGATTTGCTGAAGGAAACAGGAAAGCTAGGGTGTAAGCCTGTTGAGACTCCAATAGAATTAAATCACAGACTCGGAGAAGCTCCTGAGTATGCCCCAGTTGAGAAAAGTGCTTATCAAAGACTGGTAGGGAAACTAATCTACTTGTCACACACCAGACCTGACACTGCCTATGCTGTTAGTGTCGTAAGTCAATTTATGAACAATCCAAAAAGGGTACACCTTCAAGCTGTCAACAGAATCTTACAGTACCTCAAGGGAACTCCGGGAAAAGGAATTCTATTTAAGAAAGGAGAAAAATTGACTCTTGAAGCCTACACAGATTTTGACTATGCAGGGTCCCCAGTTGACCGAAGATCAACATCAGGTTATTGCACCTTTCTTGCTGGAAATCTTGTGACGTGGATAAGCAAGAAGCAGAATGTTGTAGCAAGGTCTAGTGCAGAGGTGGAATTTAGAGCAATGGCTTTAGGGGTTTGTGAACTATTGTGATTGAAGATCATTTTAGCAGATTTAAAGGTAGAAATTGAAAAACCAATGAAACTCTACTGTGATAACAAGTCAGCCATCAACATAGCACATAATCCTGTACAACATGATCGCACCAAACACATTGAAATTGACAGACACTTCATAAAGGAAAAACTAGACAGTGGTCTGATTTGTACTCCTTTTGTTTCTACTAATGGACAAGTTGTGGATGTGCTCACCAAGGGACTAACTGGTGTGATATTTCAAAAGATGATTAGCAAGCTTGGAATGGATAACATTCATTCACCAGCTTGAGGGGGAGTGTGGGAAAATCTGCTTAATAAGGAAACCAGGGAATCATTGTATTTGTGGTATATAATTCCATAATTTAGGAGATGTGACAATCCCTTATTAAAGGAATATCACAGCCCCTTAATTAATGGGATTTAAGTTAGGAAAGTTTCCTATTTTATTTATTCTCTGTAAGTATATAAATTTAGAGATTGTACAGCATTATTATGAATAAGAATAATTCTTCAATTCTTCACAAACACGTTCTAGGAAAGTAATCCCCACTCCACTGGTCTGTCCAGATTTGTTTTGTGCAATCCACACAGACCTAGTTGTGGGAAGCCAGAGCACAGAAAAACAGAAGCAACAGTACAGTACCATTTGGCATTCACAAACTCAATGGTATTATGCATACCTCAGCACTCCGCACCTCTTGCGCATATGTTGGTGAAACTGTTGTCACAATATTGGAAAATACAATTGCACCCTGATAAAAGACAGGAACTGGTGAAAAGTTTTGACAGACAATAATAAAGTGGAAGAAAATGACAAAAGCTTAATTCCCTACTTCAACTATGGGGGGAGAGTGGGTGAGGCGTTTGCCTAGATTAGTGGGTTTTGCAATAGAGAACTTCTAAAGCTTTGCAAACTTCTGTCACTTTTAGTATGACAATTATGATGGCAATTTAACTTATCAAAACAATTCCTCCTGCTACCTTAATAGAATTTATCCTATCCTGTGCTGAGTTGTCCTGCATCCTATCTGGTCTGTTTAGGTGATAAACGTTAAGACCACATGATGCTAATTCTGTAGCTGGTGCAGTTCCTTGATATTCAAAATTATGGCATGTAAAACAAATTCTAGCTGAATTCAGTCCTTTTGGCACATATAGATCCCAATAAAGCGGTGCCTGTAAAAAGAAGCAACTTTTTTTCTAATAAAAAACGAAGCAAAAACTCCAGAAAGGTGAAAAGTAATTAACTAAAGGCCTGTTCGGTATAACTTAAAATTCAATTAAAATTGAAAATATGGCCGTTATTATGTCCCACCCGTCTAATAAAAGTCAACAATAACGACTAATTTTTCAATTTTAATCCAATTTTAATCTCTACCGAACACGCCCTAAATCTATAACATCCATACAACAAACGCTGTCTGCCAATCATGACAATGAATAATATCTGGTTTCTTGCCAACTTGTAGAAGTAGCTCAAGAGCAGCCCTGCTGAAGAATGAGAATCGCTTAAAATCATCGTTCTCTCCATAAAATTGACCTCTCCAGAAGAAATTACCCGGATGTTGAGGCTCGATAAAATAAACAGGAAGGCCTGAGAGAATTTAAATTCATGGTCAAGTACAAAATGAAACCGGAACAACAACAAAATGAAGGCATATGAAAAAGTATAGGCACAGATAAAAACATTTTTAACCTTCAACAGTGCCTGTCCAGATTTTATTTTTGTATAATCGTCCATCGAAGTACGACTCCACTGGCACATCTAAGGCCTGCATCACGTGCCATCAGTTAGCAAAAAATTAGAATCTGCCAGCATAAGAATATGAAGACCAATTTTCAAGTACCTTTAAGTCTCGAACAAGCTCATAACGCATGCAGTCATATTTTGGCAGCACAATTTCCACAAGGTGACCTTTCTTCTGCAGTGCTTTACTTAGACCAGTCACAACATCACCTAAACCACCAACCTGAAACATAAACAAGAACTCTTAGATAATTAAGATAAAATGCGTATCCAGATTTATGTGCCAAAAGTGATTCACAGCTTGAAATTTCCTTGCAACATCCCTATTTTCAAGAAAACAAGTATATGTGAATAAGATCACTGGTTAAATGGGAACGTTGACTGATACATACACATGCATCCCATATCTTATTCCAAAAATCTTGTAGATCCCTTCTAGAATCAATTGCAAAAAAAATTAGATGATCGGATTACCCACCACCCAACCGCCACACGCACACAAAAAATGAAAGAAAGAAAACAAAACAAAGAAGGGGGAAAACATAGAGGTTTGAACGTTCTTGTGTTGGTGAAACTCTTTATATGGAGGCCTCAAAATCACTGAAGACGTTTCTAACGAATTGAAAAATACTAACCACCCATTTACTCCATTCCACTGTTCAGTATTAATCCAAAATTCAATGAATGATTTTTATTCAATCCCTTCGCGGACTTTAAAGAAAGCAATGCTTCTTATGTTCAATACCTTTTCCCTTTCAAGTTTACACCTCTCCTATTCATTACCTTATTTATTCATGCCTCTCTCTATGAAGATTGAAGAATATCAACAAATTTTGGATGAGCCCCAAATGATAAATTATGACAGAACACAGAACTCGTCTATTGATAAGTGTATTTTACTCATACTTTAGATATCATCTAAACTTGATATTTAACTAATTTCTACGAGTTTTAGAACGTTTTAATGTGTGTTTTGATGTTGTGATATAGGTTGATGAAATTGGAGGAAATAAGCAAAAGTTGGCAAAATTGGAGAATATGGCTAAATTGCAAGAGATCCAAAGTTCGGGGACTAAAGTGCAATACTCAAAAGTTGTGTCGGACCTAAAAATGAAGATTTGAGAGTGTTTGGAATCAATTGGATGAAGAAAGAAGTCAAAGGGATCAAATATAATCAAAGTATGATCACACGTCATTTTCCAACCAAAAAATGTTATGCTCTAGATTTGTAGTCTCATATTGAGACTCATTTTTGGCATAGCAAACGTTTGAATTGGAAAATGATATTTGAAGAAAAATTATAGCTATTTGAGTTATCTTTTCAACGCATCTTAAATCGCCTTAATCGGATATCGGGAGAAAAAGTTAAGATAAAAATACTGAAAGACGTGCAGTACTGAATTTCTGGCCGAAACGGGCTACTGAATTTCTACTGAAACAGGCGCCGCAGCGCCACATTCACTGAAAATCAGCAAAATCATGTGTGCCACAACGCCCATATTGGGCACTGAGGCACCGCCGTAAGAGAAATAGGTTTTTGAATTTTTTTGGACTCTTTTCTTGGCACAATATAACTCCAACACGTCCAAGATTTCATGATAATATAAATACAACCTTAAAGACCACTTTTAGGGAGGGAATTCAACACACAATTGAAGGAGGCAAAGTGGGCATAATTCAAGAAATCAAAGGGAGGCAAGAACAACATCAAGGAAGAAGATTGAAGATCTATCCAAAAATTAGTTTTTTCTATTCTCTTCTTTATGTTGTTTATTTTGAATTGTATAGATTTATCGTTTCTTATCATGAACTAAACTGTTCTTCTAGGTTTGATTGTAACCAAAACTTAAGAGTATGATTTGAATTTATTTTAGTTATTTCTATGAAATTTTTCATTCCATTTATTCGTTTTATGATTTTAATGCTTTCAATTAATTGACTACTAATTGAATGAGTAGATGCTAGTCAATTCCAGTACTCGAGAGAGGGGAATTTAGGCGCGATTATAAGATTAATACAACATAGATTTTATAGGTTTCGAGGGAAAGTATGGATCTATGAAGTTTACTCCATAAAAGAATGATGAACTTGATAATTTCTAGATTTTAATTCGAAATAGAGATATTGAAATTAATTTCTAAAATTAATTTTTATCTGGCACTCGAGAGCTTATAAACATGAAAAATTAATTAGAGATAACTAAGTTTTTGAGAATCATATTTGATAGTTAGGTGAAATCATTTCCTAGACTTTCTGTCTTGATTAAATTCATATAATTTGTATTTATTGAATTCGTCACCAAAATTATCGTTAAATTAGTTAACAATATTGATTCATAACTCATTCGTCTACATAAAATAAAGGCTACATAATTATAGTACTGTTGAAGATTCCAGAATATTGAGTGGTTGATTTATACCAATTTATTATAGACAGTAGATATATTATTTCCTTACTTAGAGATCTTGTATATATTTTACCTTCTTTGGTATGTTTTCTATCCCTATAAATAGGGTTGTACACGGTTGAAGGAATAGAACTATTACTTCCCTCTTTTAGTGTCTCTACTTCTATTCCTCTCTCCCCGGTTTCAAGTACTAAGTACAAAATTAAATTGCAATCTCAGTGGGTTCGACACTTTTAACTATATTACTATATTACAAAACTTGATACCGTACACTTGCGGCATAAATCACGTTATAGAAAACACGTAACAAGTTTTTGACGCCGTTACCGAGGATTATTTTATTTGATTTTTACTAATATTATCACCAACTAGCCTTTGTTTTAATTTAGATTTTCTTTGATTTTGTTAATTTTGGCTGTCTACCCTGATCTCTTTGGTATTTTTTTTTCAAGTACTATTAAATACTATATGCATGATTCTAACATTGATAAGAAAGCAAAACAATTGCAATTAGTAAAATCGACATGGATAAAATCTTTTGTCAGATTTGCTATGGGATGCATTATACTAAGCACTGTTTGCATACACGCATCGATTCACATACGGTAAAACTTCTAAGGTTCATACAATATTTAAGATATCAAAAACAAGCAATTGACAAATCTGATGAAGACTACGATCCATTGGAAAATTATATATCTGTCGATTGGGATGAGGATATCGTACTTGTGGGAAATGGTCCTCCTCTGCTAAACGAGAGAGTAATTGCAAATTATTATAATAAACTTGCCAGTTGGAAGAGCGCAACAAATGTATCGGGGATTGGAGTTACTGGAATGAATTCAAAATGTGGAAATACAATCCACTTGAAAGAGTTGAAAAGAAAGACTTTTCATTTCCCATGGATCTAGAATGTAGATCAATCTGTCAATCCGAAGAAATTTTGACGATCATAGAGGAGCTTAAAGTGAATGACAATTTGATCACAAAGAAACCGAATGAAGAAGTAGAAATCAATGAAGATGAAAGCAATGTACATTCGTTCAAATTATAGAAATTGATTTTGTTATCAAGTCCAGATTGCCAACGTCAAGCTAATGACGTTAAAGAAGCGCTTCTTGGGAGACAACTCAAACTTTCTTCCTTTTTATTTATTTTGTTTTCGAGTTATAGGATAATTTAGTCGTTTTACAGTTTATTTAGAAATCATCATCCCTATCCCGTCTTCCCCTAGATCCTTGAGTAATTAAGTTGGTTATTAGATGTTTGAGTTAAGTAACCCTGTTTCATATATTTAATATCTAAAATTTAATTTTTCAGGAACATGACGTCGCGAAATACTCAAACCAACATTGACAAGGAAAAAAGGGGATAAATCTCAAGTTTGGGGGAGTAGTATAAGAAGCATTCATCAAATCCAGCATCATAAGCACCAAAACGTCATAGGCAACGCAAAAAAAAAAAAAAAAAAAAAAATTCAGGGACATCCTCCTCACTTTTCTTTAATTTTACATTGAGGACAATGTTCAATTTAAGTTTAGGGGTATATTATAAATTGTCTAATTGCCTAATATTTTTATTTTGTGTGATTTGTGTGCGTGTTTTTTAAGAAAAAAAGAGAATTTACTTGTTTTGCATGCTTGTGTAAGTTAGATAGGCTTATCGGCAATGATATTATTGAGGAAATGTGTTAGTTTATGGATCATGAATATGTTATGTGTTTAGTTAAATTTTTTGCTTATTCATGCAGAACGTAAAGTATTTATGCACGTGAGTTGATTGTGGTGTTGTACAAGAGTAGGTTGATTCATATTTATAGGTTGAAATAGAGAACTTAGACGATCAATGCCAAATTCGAATATTCACTATATTCTTAACCTTGTATAATATAATTTGAGGCGTTCAAGCTGGTAAATGATATGATTTAGGATTGTGGTAATTCCATGCATGCTGGAAAAAAATATTGTGTGGAGTGTCTTCAACTTTCAAGTATGAACTAAGCAATGACCATATGCTAGGAATCTAGCCCTTTAATCATTTTTGTTTTCCTTTTAAAGAAAGAGCATTGCACTTGTTAACTCATTGCTTCACGCCTGCACCTTTTTTACTCAAGTTAATAAGTCTTTAGAGGTTTCTTAAGACCTGATACCCTTTGGTATTTCAAGACCGTGGAGTTACCGACTAAAAGCTCACTACAGGAGTCAGGAAGAGAAAGAAAGGGTGAAGTTAATCTTGAGCTGAAAAAAAAAAGACAATATCAAAATAAGCGGAAAAAAATTGTACAATTGTGAAAAAATGTTGAGGGCTTAGATATCTAGTGGGTTTGAATTAGTTAGTATAAGCTTGATTATTGAAGCACTCATAAATTGAGAGAATTATCACATGGCTTGAATTGTTGACATTGCCGATTAAAATAAACCAAAGTTGAGTGGTGTAAGAATTTAATATTGAAAATTAACTTTAGAATACACCTTGGGAAGTGAAAAGAAAACAAGTTTGGGGGTGTATGAATCTCACGAGCGAAGTAAGGAAATATTTGACTTTTAAGATCGAGAATTGGATCAACTTAGTGCTTATTTGATATGGATTTTTGGGAGAAGAATTAATTTTGAACAGTGATATGATGGGAAATGTGTGATTGAAAAAGAAGAAAAAATTATTGATATGATGGAAAATATTATTTTATTGAAGAATGTGTGGTTGAAAATGAGAATTGATATGAGAATCAATTCTCAAAATCAGAAACAAACACCCTCCTATTATTATACAGTGTTGCACTTAACTCTCCACACACACACCCTTTTTGCATTGAATAGGTGAAAATTTAACTTGGGCATTATAACTTTGAAGTGATTCATGAAATTGATGCTATGTTTTCAATCATGAGTTATGAAGGCAAGATATCTAGCGAAATTTGTTTTAAGTGATTTAGTTTTATTTAGTTGAGTTTGTAGATTCAATAGTTATTTTCTAGAGTTTCGTGTTTGCTCGAGGACTAGCAAAATATTAAGTTTGGGGGTATTTGAGCTCCAATGCTCAGAAAGAAATATTACCGAAGAATAATTATAGTAGACTTTGAAGATCATAACAAAGTAGAGCAGAAACAAGTTCATCTACCATACTATTAGTTGAAGTATACCTTAGCAACGGGTGCCATCTCAGCTGCAATATGAATGACATGTAATCTTGGACTAAACATTGATAACAAATACAGGTTAGAAACCAGCAAGTAGTATGTAGGAAGTCCTAATCACAATATAAATGTACTTACCGTGACGTCGATAATGTTAATCTGAGAAATGTGGCAATGGTTTCACGCTCAGTCTTTTCCTTACTTGACATGTACGCATCGCGAATACTTCCATCTCTTTTCCAAATCATATCTCTCAACAGAATTGCATCTTCCGCTGAAACCTTCTTCTCAAGGAACCATCCATCAATCATTAGCAATAATCGACTCCAAAATTCCGAAGGCATTTCATTTACAGTGTCATCACGTGATCTTTTCGTGCTTTCTTTTTTCAAATTAGTAAGTGTATCTTGAAATTCCTTCATAGAATTTTGGTACAATTGAACATAAGAATCTATTTCTTCATCAGACCTTTGAAGACGCTCATCGAGAATTTGTATTTTGTGTTGCATTAGTTCATTATATTGTTGCATTTTCTCTGATGAGAGCTTATAGACATTAGCCTCTTCAAGGGATTCTTCGAGACGGTCAACCTTTTTACGGAGCTCCTGGTTTTGCTGTAGTGCTAAAATAGCTTGATCAGCCTGTTTGGTTGCGTTTTCTAACAACTGCTGCAAATGCTCTACCTTCTCATACAGACTGTTGCACTCTGCTTTTAGTGAAGAAATGTTTGAAACATCTTCCTGAGAAGCAGAAAGTTTAAACTCCAATTCTTTTAGAGATGATTCCAAAGATAATCTTTCTTTCTCCAATATTTGAACACGTTCATCTGTTTCCTTGAAATTACTAAGCTCTGTCTTTAGTGCTTGCAGCTCATTCTTGAGTGAGATATTCTCCATTCTCCATTCATCTAGTTCTTCACTATAATAATTCGCATCATTATTTTGGGAAAAGGGAAATGAATCATTCATGTTGTACAAGAGCCTGTCGCTGCTATTCCTGCTAGACAATTCATTTCGCAGCTTTTCTAATTGATCTTCAAGGAGTTCTACGTGTATCTTTTCTTGAGCAGCTACTCTCAGCCGTGCATCAGTTTCAGCCAGTTTCGTCTCCAAAATATTGATTTCTCCCTGTAAAGCCTCTTTATCACAAAGAATCTTTTCAAGATCGTCGAGTGCACGGATGCGAGCATGGTTGAGCAGATGAATATCTATAGCATGATTAGCATGTAAAGTAAGGTGAAGTTCCCAAAACATAACAACATAGTACACAACCTAAAAACCGTAAAGGGTGGTTTGAGAGAAAAAGGACTTACTTTTTTCTGCATTTCTTATCATCCCAATCAAATCTTGAAGATGAATGCCTGAAAGTTGCTCCCCGCCTTCCAATTTCCCCAGTATATTGGTGGACTGCCTTAAAGAAAAAATGATTTAACAAGATTCACAATTATTCTCTTACTCCTATTATTCAGAGAAATAAAAACCAAGCCCTTGTTTGATTTAAATTCTTTAAGAATCATTTATCTCCACGCTCATTTTCAACCAATATATATATATATATATATCATTTGATTCATTTTTCATGTTTTCCCATAACTTTTCCCTACTTAACCATACATTCACCAAAAAAAACACTCACTTTTCAAAGAATCATTTCTCAAAAAATCTTTATCACGCAAAAGCCAAGAATCAATTAAGACAAACTAAATAAAAATCAACCCAAATCTAGAATGAAAATAAAAAAGGCTTCTGTTATTCTTTTTGACGGACAATTCGAAGTAAATACCATCTACCTCAAGCTCGTAGTATACAATACATGAAGAGCTCAAATATGAAACAAACTTGTGCAGTATTCGAAAAAGCAGCCCTTAATAGAAAAAATAATTTAATTTATAGATAATCATCATGAAAATGCATTAGAAACGACTGAGAAGGTATTTCATGATAAAAAAACACCCAATGCAATGATTCCTCAGTAAAAAAGAATATGGAAACTGGCAGAACTCATAATAGGCAAGTGTATGACCTTTATAAACTGCAGGACTCTTCACTGAGACAAGTACCCAACACTAACCAACAACTTAATTTTATTAAAAAAAGGAACAGAATATGCCTTCTCTACTATTAGTTATAATGTACATTTTTTCTTGAACATTATCTTGAATATTTTATACTGTAAAATTTACTTATAGGCTTATAGCATCCTTATCCGAAGTCAAGACAATTTGACAAAAATAGTGTGGCTTATACTAATGATTAATTCTAGTGTTCAACACCCACATCTAAGTCCAAACAACATATAACAGAACAATAACTCATGAAATATTCAGATTTGACTGTCAACAATCGGAAAAGTTAAAAATGTTTTCTTCTTTAAAAATTAGATCACCAATTTAAGCTTGAAGGGGAGATAATGATGCTTATATTTATCTTCACATATTTAAAGAGCACAAGTAAATAATTAATACAAAATTGAAAAATTCATGGAGAAGCAAAGTTTTGGTTCACACCGAACCCATAATCTTTGACGAAATTTTAGCTTCTGCCACAGAGTCGACTACATTTGGTGCTGAAGAATTCCTTGTATCATCTTCATTTAAATGTTCAGCTTCTCTCGTAATAGGGATACTATCATCAGAAATGGGTTCAAGCTCTTCAATTGAACCTGAAATGCTGTCTTTGGAGAAGATGCCTGGATCAGAGCCTTTATCGCCATTTACCTGAATATTTGTATTTTCTGGATGATCACGGTTGTTTTTCTTTGCCTGCTGCCTCTTATTTTGTAGGCTGTAAATATTTCGGACCTGAGTTACTAATACCATCAAATGTCTAGAGCTCAAAACGAAAAAATATCAAACAAGAAGAAATATCATATAGTGGTGATTGGTGAAGCATATGATAAGAGCATTTCAATAATTTTTCAGCCCCTGATTGGTAGAAATTAAAATCCAAATTTTAACCTTAGTCAAAGTCAACAACTAATTATAAACACATATTTTAAGGGACCCACAAATTTTCAACACACATTTCATCAACTTTTATCAAAATCTACTAAAAATCTAATTTTAATCCCCACCAAACAGGGGCTCAGTGTAACAATGAACTGTGACGGGAAAATGATTCATGAAGTTATTGAGAGCATGTTTGGCTTAGCTCAAAAAAAATGGGAGGCAGAATTGACATCATTTGGGCAATATCAAGAGTGATACTGCCCAAAAAAGCTGGCCTCTCCTTTTGTAGAAGAAGCAAAGCCAACTATGCTCTTATTTGTTGTTGTTTTATTTTTTGAATTCGATATTGCAATTGAACTTACGTTTTTTAGATTCAGCACATGGAATTGAACCCTAAAATTGTCTTCTTTCTGGGATTTTTTGGGCAATATCAAGAGTGATACTGCCTAAAAAAGCTGGCTTCTTCTTCAAACGAAGCAAAGCCAACTAAGCTCTTAATTTGTTGTTGCTGTTGTAATTTTTCGGATTCTGTATTGCAATTAAACTTATGTTTTTGAGATTCAACATATGGAATTGAACCCGAAAACTGAAATTGATTGAAAACCTCATTCATAATTTAATTGAAGTATTTCATATTCCAGTTCCAATGCCCCAATTCCTTGCAAATAAACTCTTCGACGATGTCAAGTAAATCAATACACATGGATTACAAATTTGTTAAACTTCAATTTACATCAAAGAATTATATGAAACGATACATTATCAAAAAAGCATTATTGATTCAGTGAAATAGAATTAAACGAAAAACGGAAACTAGATGAAATTGTAGCACCTGAAATTACGCTGACGCATCTTACAAGAAGCAGGAAGCAAACGGCGAGAAGGCATACGGTAGAATCGTACATTAACTTGATTAAACTTAATCCCTCCGCCGCCATAACATCCTCCATTGAGAAAACATAGATTCGCCTCCATTGATTGATGGAATTCACAGACGCATAGACGGTGAGATAGTTTGTCAGAGAGAATCTGAGTGTTCCTCGAGGAAACAATATAACGGTTGCTTAGGACCAACGACTGCTTATATCCTCTTCTCTTCTCTCAAGCGATTTTTCGAATCCTTTTGGAGAGGTTAATATACAGTACATGTTAGTGCAAGGAAATTAGGTGGGACTCTGGATGTGAGAAACATATGACACGTGGCAATATTTTGGATAAAGGAAAGGTGTTAAATTCACGGAAATTTCCATTTGAAAAACGTTACAGAAGCCTTACACCCTCTCATGTGAGAGTAGGTCCCATGAAATAAAAAAGTAAAAAAAAAAAATTATCCACTTACCCCGTTCGTGTGAGTATCTGTCACGCTTCTGTATCTGTACACGTAGTTCTCCTACTTTATACTATATTTAATTGGGACTTTGGTCGACTTTTATGGATATTTTTAAGTAATAATTTATATGGATTTTGTGGACTTTTTATAGATTTGTATAAAATTAATGGAAGTCTTTCATAAATTTCAATACGCTTTCATTTCAAAAATTTATAGATTTTTATAGAATATAAAAGACTTTTATTTAAAATAGAATTCAAGTAGATCTATAACAAAAATGTGAAATTCTCATATACGATATTATGGTTCTCACAATTCTCTTTTTCCTCCATATATATCACTTGTTTGGTTTCTATTATTTTCAAAATAAATTTTTCTCTTATTTTCAATCATATTTTTTAAAAAATAATATTACTCGCAAACTTTAAACAATCTTATTTTTTAATCACACGTTCTCCATCAAATCATTATTTCAAAATGTATTTTTTGCACAAAAAAAAGGGCATCAAATGGGCTCTTAAAATTTTCAATTTTTTTAATTTAGTAGAGAACAAATGACTAGCAATATTATTTGTTCCTACGTATAATAGAATATTAGCTCTTATGGAGCTTTCAATTAAATCTATAGAACTTGATATTGTATTAATATAATTGCTATCATTTTTGTCTTTCTCCTTCAGAGTGCTGTGATAAATTTAATTAGATAGTCGATGTGTGTTATGCACTAAAAAAAGATTGAAAAAAAAATGCTCTATTGTCATTTTCACCTCAAACAAAGTCAAAATAATTTTCTACCAATGTAACACAAATTAATAGTGAACTATTTAATGACATCTATATAGTATGTTCAAATATCTATTATGAATTAACTCTAGTCAACAATTTATGTTTAAATCAATGATAACAAATAGTCAAAAGGAATTTAAATATTTAAGTGAACCACATTTAAATTTAACAAAATTTAAAATTTCAAGTTTGAGCAAAATCCAACAATGCAAATAACATGCTTTTAGTGTGTGTGTGTGTGTAATTAATAATTAATTCACCGTGAACAAAAATATTTATGCATTGTATTGGAAATATTGGATGGCATAACTTATAACCATTATAAATCATCATGACATATATATGTATCTATATAATACATGAAATTGATAGGATTTCACGTGGGCCCAAAATAATTACCGTAATACATATTTAATACTAAGATTTAGTAGGAGGAATATACATTCCCTTTGATATTAAGTTGTGACCATCAATATTTATTTTTCTTTTCCAAGTAAATTCTATTGTCACGAGTTCCAAATATGTAATTTATTTTATTTTCTCATGAATGAAGTCAAAAGAACACAAAGTAACTCATTCGTGTTATTCTCAATGTTAACATTTTGGGCGCCTCACTAAAACTTGGCCTGTTGGGCCGTCTGTATAATTGGGTCTCTTAAGTAGAACGCTTCTGGCCTCTTTCATGGTTGAAGATTAGCCATACACGTGGCTTTACTCTTATCCTTGGATGGTGACTGTTCAGTTGTTGGATATTTATTTGACTTGGTCTTAGCACCCTGATTCAAGACACTTCCATTTTTGGGTCTCTTTGTTTTTCCCTTTTCTCTCTGAGTGAAAGTTTGGGGTTTTCTCTTTTATAAATCCGTAATAGTTCTGTGTGATTCTTCAATCTCTTTTCTTTGTGAATATCTATATATTGTGTACAGTTTTAGGGGTTGATTGTTGTGAGATTACGGNAAAAAAAAAAAAAGTTTCTCCTTTCATATAAATTTTTTTTTTAAAGTTTTAGCAATGATTACCATGTTGTGTGGTTTTTTTATCAAGTGACTTGACCGAAACATTATATTAAATTGGGTGGTTATGATGAATCAAAACTAATTTAAGTGCACATGATAACACTAAATATAAAGTACAATGGCTATGGTAAATCAAAATCAATTTGGTTGGCTATGATACTAAATACAGTGGCCGTAAGTGAATTTAGCCCTAAAGAAAAGACTATAGGAGTAATGTGAAATTTTCTTGTCAAAGGTTTTGTTTATGAAAAATAATTCTTATAAATAACTATTTACATAATATTTTAAATAATGATGAGCTGCAGAAAAATAAGTAGGGAAGTTATTTGATTAACGAGATTTTGATATAATTAAATCTCGCTACATCATCTATTGAAACCATTATATAAATTGCTATGTTATTTCTCCTCCCCTCCCCCCTATGGCAGGGGAACAAGTGTCCCCCTAGCACTATATAGGGTCATGTGATCCCGTACAAATAACATTTTTTGTTGTTTATATTATGCCCTATTTGAGTTCCAATTATGAGGAAAATGTATTTTAAAAAACTGAAATGGTGATTTTTGAAAAATATGTAGATAAAAAAAGAGAGGGAGGCGGGGGACTTTGAATTTACATATAGAATTATTTTACAAGAGAATGTGTAATTGAAAATGAGTTTTGAAAAAAAATATTTTGGAAAAATGGGGTTCAAACAAGGGTTCATTCTCGAATCTCAACATTTCATCTATTAAATGCTTCTCATTGAAAAGTTTATCAAATTATCAAAAAATATATATATTTTTTGGGAAAAGATTATCATCCATGATTTCATTCCTTCAATACATATAAGTTAACAATACATTACTTAAAGTTTATTAGGTCAAATTTAATGTAACAAATGACTTTATATTTATATATATCAAAAATGATCAAATGTCTAGGGTGGGCACAGTTGCCACGTGGCAACACCGAATATTACCATGCCTGGTGGGACGAACGGGAAGCGCGCTCTAGCAAAACCCAATGTGCATGGACGACAGTGACATTGGTGAATGTAGGAGGAAGTGGCCATCTGACTCGTGCTAACTAGACTACCTTGGGAGAAAATTAGCTGGAGTTAGCATTGCTTCATCTGAATGTGATGTTTTAAATGTCATTGATGGTCTTAAATCTATTAAATGATTTTTGTGCTTAATATTATATGGATTAAAATTAAACTTTTAGTAAATTTTGATAGAAATTGATGAAATATGTAATTAAAAAGTTGTAAGTCATATTAAATGTACAGTTAAAATTAATTGTTGACTTTGACTTTGACTTTGACTAAAATCTTGATTTTAATTTTTACCAAATAAGGACAAGTATTACAATATCAGTTTAGGTGACATTGCGTTGTATTAAATGAGAACCTGTTAAATAAGTAGTATAATTTTAACTTTAATTGTGTCTATAACATAGTGTCACTTATATAGTGTTGTAAAATAAGTGGTACTAGATATCAAATTCAAATATTAATCAACATATTTGGGTTTGGATCTTTCATTTTAATATGATCAGCCTTTTAAAAAGGAATTTCAAATCTTAATTTAAATCTTGTGAGGTGAGTTGTGGAAATTGTCGCCGTACCTACACACCTTATCAAAGGAATGGAGTGGCCCAAGCTCTCACCTTTTCTACTTGGCTACTTAGTGGTCGAACTTTTTTTTTAAACCACATATTACAATGGTCCTACAAGCACTACGTATGCATCCACCACTCCTTTTACAGTCACTTCTTTTAAAGCATCAAATTTTTTAGTCCATAAAATTTCACCCTAGCATAATCACCAGGGTAAACAAACCCTTGCTTTTCCCTTGTCATGGTCTACAGAACTTCAAACATATTCAAAAGATTTTCCAAGTTTTGTTTTGCTTAGTTATACTCATGTTCTAAATATATGTCTAGGCCAAAGTAGTGATGCTCAACGAGGCTAAATCTGAAGCTCTATCACGATAAATGACGACCCACCTTTGAAGATCCTAAATTCATGAAATTTTGTTTGAATGATTTGATATGACTCATGTAATGAGTATTATGTCGAAGTCTTGTCAACATAAATTGTAGGGTAACTGTCTCTTTTTAAGAATATTTAATGCGCCACACACTAGTTGGGTTAAAATTGATACTTAGGATAACATGCTTCGATTAAAGGGACGATGTCACGTGTCCCCTCATCCAATGGACATCATTTCACATGTAACACTATAAATATTTCCTCCCTTGTGTTATTTTGGGGTAATGCAAATACATTTACTATAAGCTATATATTCTCTCCTTTTGAGTTAATTATTTTGTTGATAAAGATAGATGTTCGATCTCGACTTTTAGTTTGGTTTTTCATTGATTGTTCCTTATCGTGTGATTCCACTCATATTTCTTGCCGACACACGAACATATTTGTCTCATGTTATAAAGCTTTTTCCACATTCATATTCGAAAAATCGTCGACTAGTAAATTGTCCAAACGTTATGGAATTAACTTACGTGGACGCGAATTGGCTCGATATCAGTTATCCACGTCCACGGTGCAAAAAACGAGATCAACACAATCAACTCTACTTCACTGCTTAAGGAGTGCACATTTTCTTTATCAAGTGATTTTTTCTTGTTTTGAATTTTGATCAACCAAATGCTTAATCATGCTAAAACTTAAAAATGAAATAAATACATCCAAATTTAGGCTACGAACATTATTTTCCCTATCACAAACAAAAAATTATTATTTGAAGATTTTATGATTTTGAGGATTACATTTTTATTGAAAATTTGAAAAATGTGTGAAATTCCTAAAAATATAAAAGGCATGCATTATTTTATTTAATTATCTATCTAGACTAATTAAAATAATATTAAGACTTTTAAGGCTTGAGATATAGCCCCTATTGACAACCATTTTTTGAAGAATGCATGATTAAAAAATATGATTTTTTTTTTTTTTTGAATTTAAATACAATACATTTTATTATGTAAATTTATAGTTGAAAATGAGTATATAGAAAAAAGAGGGCTTATTCACAAAACATCCATACGTTTGGCCTTTAGTGCGCAAAATATCCTTACATTTCAAATTTTCGCATTTTTACCCCTATTGCTACGTTTCATTGCGGAAATCATCATTTTCATCTAATTTTTCAATTAAAAGTTGTAAAATGACGAAAATGCCCTCCTATTTAAATAAAAAAATAAAAAAATAAAAATAAAGAACAAATTAGAATCATAGTTCCAAAATTTCAAAAGATTACAAATGAGTCCATAATGTATAATTAAAAATCCAACATACACCAAAAACTCAGGCAAACCACCATCTTTGAACCCTAAAAACTCTGGCCAACTACCACCCAAACCATCGGAACTCCATACAATTGGACAGCCCTCACTCTCCTCTACAGATACCACCCAGCCACCAGCCCTAACGTCACCAGATTTGGCCGAAATCGATGGCCAAAAATTAGCAATAAATATAGAGACGTATCTCCTTATTCCAAAATTGTGCATGATAACTGAGCATGACCTTAGAAATATGGACAACCAAAACTCCAAACTTCGGGGCACCTTGCCCACTGGATCAACATACCACTTTGAAACCCTCATCTTCCTCTTCACAACCCACTGAACCACTAACAACAACTTCAACAAATTTGGTCGGAATTTCCATTCAAAGTAGGCGCCCCACGCATCTTCAAATGGCCGAAAGTGCCATTTCCGGCAACACCCATGACCTGCCCACCCTCCAAGTTGACCAAGCTCACCATTACACACCACTGATGTTAATATAACAACAAACGATGTAGAAAATCCATATTTCCAGCTTTTTTCTTCAACAACGAACGAGCATTTCAGCAGTGATTTTCGGTGTCGGCAATGCAACACGCGGTCATAGACCACCACCCCCAACACTGCCTCATCATGGCGCATCCAATGAACCCATGGGTCATCACCAATTTCGAACCAATATGAACTAATCATGCAAGGCAGATCACATACACGCGACCCCCTTTCATTTGACGACTCCACTAGACTTCAACACCTCAATTCTAGCATCCAACCTTCAATTAATGTTGATACAACAATGGGTCATCCATCAATTGCATCAATTCCTCAATTAAACGAGCAAATGTTAGCCTAAGTTATCGAGGACTTGGATTTTTAATTATACATTGAACACTCATTTGTAATCTTTTGAAATTTTGGGACTATGATTCTAATTTATTCTTTATTTACTCTTCTCTTTTCTTTTTGTTTTATTTAAATAGAATGGCGTTTTCATCATTTCACAGCATTTAATTGAAAAAATAGATGAAAATTATGATTTCCACAATAAAACATGAAAGTAGAGATGAAAATGCAAAAAATTGAAATGTAACGATGTTTTACACATTAAAGACCGAACGTAGAGACATTTTGTGCTAATAAGCCAAAAAAGGAGCTCTGTAACAATGGTTGTCAAACATGAACTTAACCTTCACGCCTTAAGCTGTTTAGAACTTTAAAACCTTGGTTACACTAGGCAATATTTGCAGTTATTTTTACCTTTTGGTATGAACTACAACATTCAAATTTCGAATGACCCATAAAAAAATGCCTGTAATAATTATCCAAAATATGTTCCCAGAGAACACGTATATTACTTCTCCCTACGTTTTTCTTATTGTTCATTAACTGGGGGGATTGTGGGGGAGGGTGTGACTAATAAAAATAATACAAGCGTGGAAATCCCACAAACAAAATGTTTCCTTTTTCTGTGACCACATTGCCTCGTCTACCATCAGAGGCAAAAAAACTGGACGCTGCAATGCAAGTGATATTCCACAAAGTTAATGGACACAAAAGCTTTGACAATTAGTTCCGAATCCAGTAACACCTTCCCTGCTGTCCATGTATGTTCACCGATATGTTTTTGTACCCATAGCTGGTGATTTCTCGTATCTGTACAAATCATACGATTTTCTTTTTGTTAAAGCGCAAGCTGATCATATGAAAAGAAGTGGGCATGGAAAACAAAGGTTCGAGAAAAATTAAACATGGAGGGAGTATTTACGGGGGAATATTATCTTCTTTGACATCATCTCAAGAGTTCAAATCAGCCCTTACTCCATACACAAGTCTATAATCTATAGATAAAATTCATACCATTCGTAATTCTTCATCAAGGGTATAATTTAGTTGCTCTATGATAGGCAGAATGTTTCTGAAATCAATCTTAGGCTAATAGGTCGTTTTTATGGTATATCAAATTTTTTTTTTTAATAACCGTGGATGTCCTGAGGGAACTCGAACTGGTGACCATTGGGGAGCCAACACAATGCCTGACCAATTGAGCAAGCCCTCAAGGTTATGGTATATCAAATTTTTGTGTTGAAATTAGTTTAATAGTCAATCTAATTCGTTCATATTGGAGATGATGATCCTAAGAATCAGAAAAATAGGAATTCATTCTAATTCATTCTTGAAGAGATTTATTAATGGTTACAAAAGTTTCTAAACTTTGACTGTGAGATGCAAAACCCTATGATGCAATGCCCCACAATCAAAGTACGCAGTCTTCCTTCTCGAGATATCTTTGATCTTTAAACTTTACCCATACCATCCGCATTATTAATCTGTTCAAAAAATAAACCCTTGAAGTCGTCCTATTATCAACAACATAAATCTTGGCTATAAGCTGATTGTTCACAAGCTGTGTGCATCATGTGCAATTCACTAGTTAATGGCTTAAATAACTTACCATTAATGAGGGATTTGCAGAAGAATGAATGAAATGCAATATAAACATCCACAGATGGCAGCTCCCGCAACAAAATTGTAAAATAGCTTCTTATTGTCTCTTGTGGGTATGAAAGCTGACTTCAATGTGTTAGTCAACTCAAAAAGCCGATATGATACCTATACCAGTAAACAAAATGCAAACGAAAATGTCAAAAGGAAAAAGAAAAAAATATCAGTCAAATATAATCCAAAGATAAAGTTATGATTCACTCACCAAGATATAAATGGCAGTTGTGAGCATGAAGTTAAGCAAAGGGTAGTTTGGGATCAAACAGAGTAGCCATTTAGGCTGTCCATTAGGCATGTTTGATCTGCATGAGCATAAATAAAATCCAATGAAACCTCCATTAATTTGGCTTCTATTAAATTTTCATGTTGGTTAAGCCATTGCACGGGCACCCTTACAAATTCAAGATTTTGCAACTCATGTTCTCTTCAAAAAAGTTCATTCGGTTAAAGTTAAGCCTCCACAAGTGTAAAATGGCAGGAAAATAGATTTAAGATAAAAATGGCAATATTTTGTTGTATCTACAATGTGGCACATGCCTCATTAAAAAATAAAAAAAGGGTTCTATTCATGCACAAATGGAAAGAAGTGAATAAAATAGACATTTACAAGTAAATAACTATAATTCCGTTTGTCATAGATGTAAATCATTTATAAATGGTT